AGCTTGAAATGTGGAGTTTTATTCCGCCACTACCAAGGAAACTCCTGCCCAAGTAATGTATTACTTATGTTTCTAGTGGGTACTCAGCCTTCTAGTCTTCTTCATTCCTGCGGTGCCGGACGGCATTCGGGCGGCAGTCAAACGCATCCACGTCCCCCTGGGAATAGTAATGTTCTTCTCTGGAGTGGCTACTTGCCTTATGGGCATCACGCGCGTCAACTTCCTGGATGCAGGGTGAGTGAAAGCCATTTTTTCCATTGTTTACAGAAATTCAGAGGCGAAGAGACAGGGAAATAGTTAAAAAGAAGGCATCTCGATCACATGTTCTATTCGTCTCAGATTTAAAACTCTTACTGAAATTCACCGTCAGATTTTTAAGCGTCAACGAAAAACCGGCAACAGTTATAGGGGGCAGGAGCCAGTCAAGCATCAGTGGCGTCAGTGCAAAGATGCTTGCGCAGGGTGATGTACGCCGGCACCAGATCGATAAATCGATTGACAGAGCTTTCATCCGAGGCCTAGGCTTCAATCAATTCTTGACTTGCCTGGCTGCCGGCTTGGGCGATTATTTTCGCGGCTGCAAAGTTAAACTCGTGACCCGTCTCGTAGGTGTTGGCGGTCACTTGCCGTAATGTGTCTCCCCGTCTTACAGCCAGCTTATGCTCGTGTATGCGCGAAAAACATGAGTCCAGTCTGTCCTTTGTAATTTCGGAGACAGTTAAGGCATGGTATACGAGACATGCATCCAACTGCTCACTGGGATTTAATGGGCCCTTGATTTTCATCACTCGGCTGTGCATAATAGCCTTGGGACAGTATACAATTCCGACACCTAGTCCTACAGCAATGAGCTCAGTTGATTCCGACCCATCCTTGAGGAATGGCAACGCATGCCATATCGTACGGGCTGGTTCTCGTTGAGTCTTCGGAGGGCGAACACGTAGGCATCGGCTTATGGAGGCCTTCGGATATCCTTTCCAAATAAACTAGTAGCGGAGAGATCGGGCCTCACATGCCTTCTCTTCTGGATTAATGCACTGAGTCTGGATTCTTTTGAACAGTGTTCACACGCAGTTTCGTTTGTTAACCACCGGAAGATGGACTCTATTAAAATTTAGAAAGCTCAGACGAAAAAAAAAACATTATTCTGGTGATCGACGTTCTTCCTTCTTCTCTACCTATAAGCACACATGGGACGCGAATATTCGCCTCATTTCGCGGGATAGTGAAGTTTTAAACGGTTTAAAAAATATTGCAGCATCCTGTCCCAATTGCTGTGAGACACCTAAACGGACCTCTCTGGGATTGTTGGTTAATTTACCAGGAAATAGATGCGCGAATAAGTCCACCGGGATATATCTTTTCAGCTTCGTTCCGAAACCTCATAAGGAATGTTTCAGCTGAACTCCACCAGCTACTGCGGTATAACCCCAGCTGCCTCAGGCAGCGACACGATATCCGGGACGCACGCTTTCTGGGCTTTTACCCTAGTAGCTGTGATGTCAGTAGGATAAATAATCACGTTGTACCATCCTTTTTTTCTTTTCTTATGAAGCAGTTTTCATCAGGGCTTGGACAGCTCACAAACTAATTTATAGGCAAGTCACTGTTTCTGCGTCCATAACGCCGTAGGGCACGTAGTTGAAATCGTCGGAAATAGCGAGCTTCTTTTGGGTAGCCAGAAACCATGTAATTTTACGATTCGCGTTCGCTTTGTCGTGTATCAATTTAAACAAGAGACGACCTTTCAAGTGTCTGTTTAAGGTTTCAATGGGAATTTTTAATTGATATCTGCGGAAGAAACAGTCCTAAAAAACTTGAGTTACAAACTTAGCAATACTTTGTTGATAATTACTTTCACCGTACGAAATTTTTAATAAAATCTGAAATGTGTTTTTGATCAGATAAGAGCACTTAAGTAGAGTTGTAAGATAAGGCATCGTGCAACACACTCGCAGGATATTTAGGATAAGTCAGGATGCCGACATTGGAATTTACGACTTTCCGTTAGCCTACAACAAGCACGCCCAATAAAAAATAATAACTTAGGGAGTACGAATTATCCTCGTGATTGTCAATGCCCTCATGCATTCAAAACATATTTTATAAGACATACGTACAAAATTATCATTTTGTGATTTCGGTCGGTAGAAAATTGTTTTTTTCTATTCAAAAATGTATTCTTCGGATTTTGAGACCGTTTTTTTAGTTCTCGAATAGTGTTTTGCCCAATGTGTCCTTAATTTTGCGTCTAGGACCTACTCTCTACAAATTGCGTACTTTCCAACTGAGGATAATTATTCAATTATTCGACTATTTTAATAAGAAAGAACCATTTGTGGCTCCTAACTTTTGCAATATATTAGGAACATATGGTAAAGTTCATGGGAAGCACTAGTTAACGGACATATATGACGCTACATGAATCGAATTTATACAGTCTTTAGAGTTTAACGATAGAAAACTTTTTAGAACGATAATATGCCCTTTCTATGAGGAATAATTGAAGAACGCTCGATTTTTTCTTAGCTGGGTATTTTTGTGCATCTTCACTTTGAAGCATATTTGAATTTATAAGGGCATCAAAAGTCAGTAAAAAATTCATATTACTTTTGTGGACAGCTTTCATGGAGTGGGGATTTTCAGGCTATCGAAAAGAATTGCAGTCAAAAGCCGGAATCCTGAACTGTCTAAAATAACATGGAAATATACCGCAAGTTATTCATCGTCACGACCCTCCTTGCCTTCCAATCGAGAAACGTATTCCAGATGTTCGCTTATTATTTCGTGAGGCCGCACACTGACTGAAAATAAATGTACGACCTTTAGTATGGCGGGTTTCCTTTCGAAGCGAAAATCCGTTTGTACACCAAGCAAATTGAATGCTGTACTTGTATAGTAATCTGTGTCTAATATTTTGTACCAGTTCTTTGAGAATGCGCAGCACTTATCGTTACATAACTAGCCGTCCATCTATACTATAGAGCAATAAATAAACACCATGTTCGCATGCATTAATTAACTGCTTAACCAACCAACCAAGTCGTTTTCCTGTTTGTGCTTGCAAGATGTTTATTCTTCTTCTTTTAGGTATCCTTCTCTGGTTAAGCCGACAGCCTATGGAAATGCGCTTGGTGTACTACTTGTGGCATATTGCGGCTTCGTTGTCTACCTGGTCATTCGGCAGGGCTTTAGTCGGACTGAAATTGTCGAAGTCGAGTATTAAAAGTGCAGCAAATGGAAGCTTCCATTTGGTCCCTCATTTTAACCACTTTCTTTTCACATTGTACTTCTATAACAATAAATATCTGGGGCCACGCTTTTTCCAGTGCATATTTAATATGTTGGATAAGACGCAAAATGAGCTGGAGGGGTATCATAAAGTTGCCCTTGCGTCCCAAATGCCGTTGGACGGCGGCAAAATTTGGGTTTTGCGTGGACTACAAACCTACCAACTGAACTGCAAACCCTATTATAAAACCCAAAAAGTAAAAAGCAAGCGCTTGTCTGTCAAGATATGTCAACGGGCATCGTACTTGAGGAGGAAACGACTCGGTCGCCGGAACAATACTTTCATTTGCCTGACGCTTCGAGATCCGTCGCGGATTTGTCATGAGAGACATAGTCAGATAGCAGTAGCAGGTATGGGTCTGTGGGATGAAGTGAACGTCGGGGTCAACAATGTGGGATACGATGTGGTCCGGCCAGATAATAGGCGATTGAACGTATCCCAACCTTTATAAGCTGGAAGATATAATATGGCGTGAAAGGCCAGATTGTTATAGATGATTTAATGTAGTGTTGAATGAGTA